AATTTGAATAAAGAAGCCGTGGTATGTTTGTTCTTTAACTGCATAGTGTTTTCTTAATGATAAGTCTTACTTTTTCAGAACAGTTATTAGTAATACTTTTGAGTTGTTTATTTCTTTTTGTATTGGATCTAGTTTCAGTTCAGTGAAAAAGATACAGCAGATGAATATGATTATGAGAAGTTTGATAAATTGTCCAAAGGAAGTTTGATAAACAAGATAAAAAGTTTGGAAGAAGAAATAAACCGGTTGAAAAAAGACAATGCNCGGTTGAGAACACTTCGGTGTATAAATGAAGGTGAGTCGTTGTGTACCTGTCAATTGATTGGGATATATTATATAACATCAGATGAAAATTTTGTTTGTGGTCGTTGTCTGCTTTCTGCATATAGCGTTGCCATCTCTTGTTTTTTTTTTTTTTTTTTAAAGTAACAGTGTTTTCTTTGTTAACTTGTAAGTGCTCAAGACATTCTTCTGATCACCATGTATTATTATTGCAGATTTAGAAAAGCTGAAAGTGTTGTCCAACTGCATTCTCAATGATTTCAAAAACTTGCAGAAAGACATTTCCAGTTCTTCTAGCCGTCACCGTGTACACAATGATAAAAGCTTCAGTAAAATCCAAAAACACAGCGTAATGATTTATTCCAATGAATCAGATAAAATCTCTGACAGAGACAAAGACAAGATATTGTCATAGCTTTACTTTTTTTTCATTTTTATATAATGATTAATTTCCTAAAAATTTTAATTTTAAATGCATAACCATTTATTTTTATTCTTCCTATTTCATAAAAAAACAAGACATATTTTATGTTTTTACTCTGANTATATATTAATGTGTATCTTATTTACAATTTTAGATTTCATCTGATGTTCAACAAGAAGATAACAGTACCGAAAGCAGAAACTGAAAATGACACAGTGATCACTACCTCAATAGTAAAAACAGCATTTAAGACGGAGAAGCAGATAGACAAAGTAAAAAAACCAGAAGCAGCGAAAAAAAGCTTACAAGAAGTGAGTGGTTACACCGCAAAAAGTAAAAAAAAATGCTAAAGTATGATATCATATTATGACCACTTACTAAAGTACTTGAAAAATAGAATATTATAGCTACTGTTTTATATTTAAGTCTAATGTTTTTTTAAGTTTAAGTTTACTGTAATATTGGAAGCTAGAAAGAATGCACACTACCCACAAGCTACCAAACACGAGGGGCAGGGGAATCGTTCGTTCGCTCCAACTAATCCCCTCCACTAGGTAGGTTCTATCGAGACAGTGAGGATATGCACACAAGCGAAAACCGTGTGAGCCCACGAACAGTCCGTGGGCTCACTTCTTTCCAGCTCCCAATAGTACTTCTTAGAGTCGACAGATGCCTACAGACTCTCTAAGTGGAAAAAGAAGGGATGAAAATTCAGCCAGAACACATGACAGGCCACTCATCGCGCATGGTGTAGCGGGGAAAATCTCCCTTTCACTTCTCTTGCCCGCCAATGTTGCTTATCTCTTAGGCGTTCTGGTTGAATTGTTATTTTCCGTTATAAGGGTTTGTGGGTGTAATCATTGATTAACAAAATTATCTGCATCTCAAGTTACTTGTTTCAGCTTAAGAACAATTTTCAACACACTTTATCTACCGTAAAGTGCGTTGAAAAATTTTGGCTAAGACACTATTGTTGCCACATGGTGACATTATTTTAATATTTTTTCTTTTTCTAATATTTTTTCTGTTTTCAATATTTTTTCGTTTTTTAGAATATGATTGATTTCGGAGGGCGGCTCATTGAAAAAGAAAAGATTAATCGCATTGATAAGAACAAAGGGCTAATGACTTACGCAAGCTCTTTGATGGGAATTGTTTTCAATTCGGAAGAAATGGCGACATCGACAATGACAGGCACTGTCAGCAACTTCCAGAAAGGTGTTGGCAGCAGCAAAAAGGAATTAAATTCTTCTGTGAGAGATGCTGTTATTGGTATGTATGATTTTTGTGTGATTAAGTTTAAGGCCACGATCTCAAGGTGTATGCACATTAGTTCAGCAGTATATTTGGAAGATTGATTTATTAATGGATTCATTTTTTTTATTATAATTGTTATGATTTTATTCTGTTTCTTTTTTGTGAAGAAATTTTTTTGTAAATTGAAAGATTTTGAAATTACATATATAGTAGATTTTATTGATTTTTTAAATAATTATACTGTATTATACTTTTGATTTAAAATAGTTTATACTCTGTGTCCTTGATTTTTTTTTAAATGTCTACTTGTTTTGCTATGCGCTGTTATTTCTTGCAACGCATCAAAGTTAAAGAACGTTTTGTTTCTTATCAATTTCCAGATTTTGTGATGAAAACATTTCCTGTCTCCAATGATATTGGAGGTGTTTTTAACAAGTCCATCAAAATCGCCATGAAAGTGAAACTAAATAACGAGGCTTTAAATCTAAAAAAAAAAAAGAAGTTGCTGCAGAGTGCCATGACCAATCAACTAACAACATCTTCTGTACTTTCAACAGCGCAAGAAGAGCCTTAAGATTAACAATCAACAGTAACTCTGCTGTTGTTGTTACTTTTATATATGCAGTTATTATAAAATAAATATCTCAACTACTAAACCAAAATGTTTCTATTGTAGCGATCCTAATATAACTTTATAATACATTTTTTTCATTAAGTGAAAATCTCAGTACGTTTGAGTATACATGTATACTTTTGAAAGATATTTTTTATTGCCAGAAATTAATCACTAATGATGCTGGAAAAAAGTTTATTTAGTAATTTAACTCTATTCAAAATAATATAATTACTTCTAAGTAATTTAACAATTACTATCAGTAATTAAATTATTCAGTAACAATCTATCATAGATAATCACTGAGGCTAACTTAATCACTACCAGTAATTCACTCAATAATTCACTATCAGTAATGAATCCTCAGTAATTATCATTGTATTACTGACCAGTAATCTAGTGATAATTTGCCAAATTATCACTGGTCAGTAATTCATTACTCAATTTTTTATAGTAATTATAAGTAATACATTTCTGTAAGGGATTGTCGTTGTTACTTGATAACAACATATATATTTATGTTTATGAGAAAATTGAGAAATTAAAAACTGTGCGCGTATGATGTAATAAAAAAAGTAAATATAGAAACTTTATTAATTTTATTATTATTATTTTTGTATGGTTATATACATATAAAAGCCATTGCACGTGACAAAAGTTAGTCGTAATTGTAAGGTCGGAAGCAAATAACTAACTATAATCACAGGCCAACAATCTAGCCTATACATGGTCTGTAAGTGGTTGAATTGCTTACGACTTTACAATTAAAACTTTTTCACGTGCAATGGTTTTAATCAAGGTTGAGAAGTAACGCCTTACTTGTAACGTCGTTACCGTTACAGTTACTTTTTTTGGTAACTGTAACGGTAACGGCGTTACAAATTTTTTTTGTAACAAAAAAAGTAACTTAGTTACATTTTTTTGTAACGAGTAACGAATTTAACAATTACTTTTATCGTTTGTTGTAAGTTGAATGTGTGTAATTATGTTTTGTATTATCATTTTATTTACGTAGTCACAAAATATTGTTTAAGTTGGGATCTAGTTACTAAGTGTAGTTTTACGTTCGGAGGGAACTGGAATTCGGCTCAGATGTCCAGTCAGCACTCGCGAGGAGATGTACGACCGCGCGCGCAAGAACGCACCGGTCAAGAGTCAAGAGTCGCGCGTACGGCCGAAAAGGCCGCAATGGTTTGCATTGCACTTTTCAAAGGCTGAGTATTTCCTGAGGTTTTTGACCAATCACAGAGTGATTAGTTTGGAGATAAAAGCCGGTGTCCGGGTGGAAGCGAGCAGAATCGTCTAGAATAGTGTCGCGTCTGGAGGCTCTGCCCGTCAGAGCATCGCTCGTAAAACTTAGAATATCGCGAGTGAGTGAAAGTGTAAAAAAAACCAGAGTAAAGAATAAAAAGGTTTATTTGTATTATTAACGAAAACTACAACATAATATTTTTTATCCTCGGCGTCCCTCCCTCGCAGCATCCTCGATCTCACGCGAGGTAACACGTTACATTTTTCGTGTACATTTTACTTGCTATAATTTTCTTTTATCGGAGACGTAGGTACCCAGACGGCACAATGATGTATTTAAGATGTCTTGAAGATATTTCACAGAGACTTTGAATGTGCAAAAGATATTTCGTTGAGACATTTTCGAACGAGTAATGATGTTCAAATAATATCTCAGGGATATGCCTGAGACTGCTAATGTCCACATCAAAAACATGCAAATGATATCTCTTGCAAAAGTTTTAAAAATGAGGGGAATTTCGAGATTTCACTCGAATTAGTTTTTGAAGGCCTGATACAAGCTCGCCGATCAACCGATGAACTCCATTGAAAGGGACCGGACCTGAGAAATCCTAAGGTGAGATTTAGTGAGATTTGAACTCGAGATCTCCGCAAGCCCATATCCGCAGCCCCTGCACTCAGTCCGCGAGACCACTTGCTTCTTACTAAATTATAATTGTTTTTATCTACTTATTCTTGAGCTATTGTACACATTTTGTTTAT